ATCGAGATCGATGGTGGGAAGGATTGTGACATTTGTTGTGGGATCGATAGTGAGATCTAGTGTGAGATCGAGAGTGCGATCGATAGTGAGATCTGTTGTGATATCGGTGGCGAGATCGGTCACAACAGATCTCATCCTCCATGGTTCGTGTCCGTCCTCGCTCCAGCGAGCACTCTGCGCATCGCGACCACCGCGGCGGAAGGCGAACAGTGCTGCTGCAGCTGTGGCCCAAGCAGGCTCTACTCCAGATTTCGTAATAAAGGGAGGGGGGGTCTCATTTCGGGGGGCGGTCTCTTCCAGGCTATCTTGGAGGGGCCTGGGGGGTCTGGGGACGATGTTTTTGAGGGTTCTCCCACTGGGGAGGTCTGAAATGGCTTGTCTTGGAGGGTCCAGACCCCCTCCCTTTTATTACGAAATCTGGAGTATGCACGACCTCGCCTCCCCCCTCTTCGGCACGTCGGCGGGTGGCGCGCGCCTCTTCGCGCACCCTGCCTCGCCGCCAGCCTCTGCCAGCGGTGCCGAGCATGGTGGGTCGCGGGAGCGGGCGCAGCGGCTTCAGCAAAGGCCCGGCCGCGCGCCCGGTCAGCATCGGGGCCTCGGAGGGGGCCCGCCTCCACCGCGGGCGCCGTGGTGTCCAGCACGCCGGCAGGCCGCACAAGACGTGTGAGCGCAGCGAGCGCGCGCTCCAGCAGCAGCGGGCGCAGAGGGGCAGGGACAGGAAGGAATTCGGCGCAGGTTCTGGCAGGCAGTGTCGGGACCAGGCTTGGAGAACAAAAAAGAGTGCGAGTCATCGTTGCTACTGTCGTCGCCGCCATTGCCGCTTGCCTTGCATAATGGTCTGGCGATACTCGTGCCCGTACTGTCCGTTGTGGTGGTATTTAGTTGGCCCGCTGGTGTTCCGATGATGTCCCGATGTTGCCCCGCTGGTGTCCCGATCGTACTGAACGCCACTAACTTAGCTGTGAGACCATTCGTGAGATGTTGAGAGGTCGATAGTGAAATCGAACGTGAAATCCGCCGGCCCCCTTGATGGGCCACCAGGCTGTAGGCCGGGAATGTGCTTCTCCCTGTACCAGTTGCAGCTTCCGGTTTCCACTGTTGCAGTTCTGCGTCTTGCTGCTTACTGTTCCTTGTTGATGAACGCGCGAGGGGGGGGGAGCCCAAACCAGCAGAACTGCCACGCCCTGGGAGGGTCCTCAGAATTTCTGAGGGGTGAAACAAATAACACCCCTCACGCAGATCCGCAGGGTCAGGGTCCAAAAACACAAGGGATTTACCACACGTCTAAAATTCGGTGGCACCCCGCACGCAGATCCGTAGGGTCAGGGCCTAAAAAACACAAGAGATTTGCGACATTTCTGAAATTCGGTGGCAACCCTCACGCAGATCCGTATGGACAGGGTCCAAAAGCATAGGAGATTTGCCACATTTCGAAAAATTCGGCGGCACCCCTCACGCAGATCCGTAAGGGCAGGGTCCAAAAACACACGGGATTTGCAACATGTCTAAAATTCGGTGGCGCCCCTCACGCAGATCCGTAGGGTCAGGGTCCAAAAACACAAGGGATTTGCCTCATTTCTAATTCGGTGGCACCCCTCATGCAGATCCGTAGGGTCAGGGTCCAAAACACACATGGGATTTGCCACATTTCTGAAATTCGAGCCCCCTCACGCAGATCAGGGTCAGGGCCCAAAAACACATAGGATTTGCCATATGTCTAAAATTCGGTGGCGCCCCTCACGCAGATCCGTAGGGTCAGGGTCCAAAAACACAAGGGATTTGCCACATTTCTGGAATTCGGTGGCACCCCTCACGCAGATCCGTAGGGTCAGGGTCCAAAAGCAAACAAGAATTGCCACATGTTTGAAATTCGGTGGCACTTCTCGCGCAGATCCGTAGGGTCAGGGTCCAAAGACACATGGGATTTTCACTTTTCTGAAATCCGGTGGCACCCCTCACGCAGATCCGCAGGGTCACGACGTCTTACCAACCGCCAGGTGTGGCAACCCCTCTGGTGATCCATTGGTTTTGCTCCTTACGAGTCGGCCTCGCATGAAGTTTCGATACTGCTTCACGACAGCGCCCAGGCCTCATGCCACAGCTCTGGCATAGCGCATTCTCCGAGAGAGGGGGGCCGGCGGCAGGGGGCGAAACCCTTACGGATAGATTATGAGACCGATCATCTATTTGATAGTGATACCGATCGTGACATGGATACTGAGATCGCTACAGATATCGATCGTGAAACTGGTGGTGAAATCAGTCGAATGGAATCGAATGCGAGGTCGCACGTATGTGGTGTGAGCTCCAGTGCGGTTGGGTCACCGTCATGACAATCACCATTATTCATTATCGCTATGAGCGTCATCGTGCAATGTCGCCATCGCATCGCCATCACACTCATCGCAATTGTTGTCAGTGGGTTTTCCTCCCTCCAACCAACCTCCTTATCACCCGTAGGGTGGTCGTGCAGGCACATGTTGTTTCATTGTGGGGGAGCGAGGGAGGAAGGAGGACGAGTGAGGAGAAGGAGATATGAGGAGGAGGAGGGGGAGAAGCGAAGGGAGGAGGAGGAGGTGGAGAACTAAGCGGAAAAGGTGGAGAAAGAGAAAAGGGAGGAGGAGGAGGAGGAGGAGGGGGAGAACGAGGACGAAGAGGAGGAAAAACTAGGGGAGGAGGAGGAGGAGGAGGAGGAGGAGGAGGTGGAGGAGGAGGCGAGGAGGAGCAGGATGAGGACCAGTGTAAAACCAAGGGTCATCAACTATGTTGGAATTAGCCCTCCCTCCAGGCTCCCTTTTCATAGTCCTCCACAACGGTTCGTCTCCGTTGAAGGAACTGCCTCGTTGGAAGACAACCGTTTGAATATCCTGAAGCATGCCAGAAACTTGCTTTCGGGATTTCAACGCCACGTATCAACCTGAGTGAGTGCTGCGTGTCGACGCTGCAGAATCCTGCCAAAACACCATTTTTGGTACTTCAACACCGCGAATCAGCATAACTGTTGCACCCGCGTAGTCGTGAATCCTTCCCAAACACCAGTCCTGATACGTTGACCATGGGAATCCGTGAAACTCTTGCAAATGTTTGAAAACGCAGGCGCGCGGCGCTAGGGCGAGAACCGCGTGTTGAAAACAACCCGCCCTTAATCCGTGAAGCTCTTGCAAATGTTTAAACCGACTGTGCGCGGCTCTAGTGCGAGAGCCACATGTTGAAAACGACCCGCCCTCACTCCGTGAAATTATTGCCGGTTTTTTAAAGACTGCGCGCGGCGCTGAGGCTAGATCCACATGTTGGAAACGACCCGCCCTCAATCCGCACAATTCTTGCAATGGTTTAAAACATGAGCGCGGCGCTGAAACGCGAACCACATTTTGAAAACGACCCGCCGTCAACCCGTGAAACTCGCGCAAATGTTTGAAAACGAATGTGCGCGGCGCTAAGGCGAGAACTACATTTTGAAAACCACCCGCCCTTAATCCGTGAAGCTCTTGCAAACTTTGAAAACGAACGTGCGCGGCGCTAATGCTAGAGCCACATTTCGAAAAGGAGCAGCCCTCCATCTGTGCAGCTGTTGCCACTTTTTAAGCTGGAAAATCGTAAATGGTGAGTGAGTCTCAAGGCCTCGGGGTGCGACAGGGAGGAGCTACCTATGAGGAGAAGGAATGGAGGAGGAGGAAGGAGGAGGAGAAGAAGGAATAGGAGGAGGCGAGGAGGAGGAGGCGAGGCGGAGGAGGAGGAGGAGGAAGAGGAGGAGGAGGAAGGAGGAGGAGGAGGAGGAGGAGGAGGAGCACGAGGAGCACAGCCGAGACAAATGTCGCATCCCGAAAACTAGGCTCCCCGCGTACTCTGACCTCCTCCGGCAGCGCGGCGAAAACGTACAGGAACCGGAGTACAGGACCAAGTTGAGGCCGAACACGAAGGAGAGGTGGTAGCCGAAATTCCACAACATTTGCACCATTCGCCGACCAGCACGCGGCCTCTAGCCACACGATCTCCACTGCTGCGGGCAATTCTCGCCCGCGGGAGCCACGCTCCCCGTTGCAGTCCCCGTGGGCGTCGGCTGCGCGGACTCTGCTACTGCGCCCCAGTCAATTCTTGGCCCCGTCTGCACCGCGGCCCGCCTCGGTCCTCGTAGCACCTCCATGTCGCCGAGGAGCCGCGCGCGCTCCGCGCTGCCTGCCCAGCTCGCCGCAGCGGCCAGCGGTTGGGCAGTCATCCCCCGAAGGGGGCCTGGGGCCGCGCCCTCGGCGCCAGCAGCTGGCCCGTCCAGCGGCACGTCAGCGGTGCCCTCTCCGCGCTTCCGACAAACATCCTCCCCGCCAGTGGGCGTGCCTTGGCCTGCCGCAGGACTGGGAACGGCGCCTCGCGCTTCGCGAATCTCGTCGAGCTCGTTGTCATCCATCGGCTCGCCCGTCTCCGCCTCGGCTTGCATTGCGGCCTCTGCCACGGCCGTGGAGGGCTCTCCAGCTGTCGGCGACGCTCCGCCGCAGCCGCCAGCCTCGCCGCCGCCGCCGCCAGACGCGGGCCCGCGCAGAGCCTCCAGTGCCTTGGCCATGGCCGCACCAGAGCGGGAGATTGCCGAGCCACGGTGGCCGGCGACCTCCGCGTAGGCGCCGAGGAGGCGCGCAGCAGCGCGGGCGTCCGCCCGGCGGTGCTGGGCGCGTCTCCCGGCCGCCGTGCGGCTGGGCCGCCGACGCGGCGCCGCCGCCGCAGGTGCCTCCATCGCGACGCTGGGGGAGGGGGAGGCGGAGGCAGGGCGAGGGGCCCCGTGGCGCGGGCTCGGCGAGTCGGGCGGAGTGCTCGAGCCGAGCTGGCGCTAGGAGGAGGAGGAGGAGGAGGAGGAGGAGGAGGAGGAGGAGGAGGAGGAGGAGGAGGAGGGAGGGAGGAGGAGGAGGAGGGAGGAGGAGGAAGGATGAGGAGGAGGGAAGGAGGAGCATGCAGAGGAGGACCTCCGGTCTGACCAGGGAGGCTCGCGCGGGCATGAGGTGAACCACTCCCGCCTGGTAACCGACTGCTTCCGCCCTGCTCGCTCATGCCCGACACCTTCATCACCGCGAACGGGGACGGCGCTCCCGTGACCTGCCGGGGGGGAGGCCGGGCGAAAGGGCGAAGGGCGGCTCCGCACTCGCCCGCGAAGGCGGCCGCGCGCTCTGGGGCGGGAGCAGTCGCCGGGGCGCCGCTCGTTCCGTCTCCAGAGGCAGGTTTGTTCTTGGACTGGGGGGGAGAAAATCCGCCCCCAGAATGAACACCCCGACACGCGAAGCCGTTTAGCAAACACACGCACAAAAGTAATCGAGCAAGGCGGGGCTGTTGAATTAACGCCCGAAGCCGTTCATTACACGTCAGCTGTCGGGTCCGGGTGGTTTTCCTCCCTCGTCAGCTCTTGGACGGTGCACGCACTCCACATTCCAAGAAATCATTTTTTTATTCCGGCCGGTACCGCTCGTTACCCGGGGGGGGGGGGTCGTGCCCCCCGGGTAACGGTAACGCTTGGGCTGGGCGGGGTATGGCGAAGCAGGGCCGCTCTGCGATCGCCATAGTATGCGCGCGAGCAGCACTCTCTGCCTGAGAGCACCACAGTGGCTTGCGATTCGAGTACAAGCGCAAAGCCCGCCGCGTGGTCCCGGCACCACGCCCGCGCCCGCGCGCGCGACGACGATGATCGACGAGCTACGAGCGACGAGGTCGACGACGACGACGACGACGTTTGCCGCCTGTTTCGGCCTCCGGAGGCCGTTTTCGGGCGCCGTCGACGACGACGACGACGACGACGACGACGACGACGACGACGACGACGACGACGACGACGATTCGAGTACAAGCGCAAAGCCCGCAAGCACCATCATCGCGCATGCGAGCGCCGCAATGGCCTGCGAGCGCCCACAGTGCGCCTGCGACCACCACACCACAGTGCGCATGCCTTCGGGCACCAGCATGTTGGAGGGGAAGACCGAGACCCCCCCCGCGTACGAGCGTTACCGTTACGGGGGAGGGGGGGGGGGGGGAGAGGCCCGGGTAACGAGCGTTACCCCCCAGAGGATAAAAAAACAATCTCCAATGCAATGATAAACAGGGGAGAGGTCTGATTTGGCGGGGGTGTCTGTGTGGAGCTGTCTCGGAAAGTTCCAGGGGGGGGCCTGGGCAAGAGGCCGCCCCCTCGCGGCTGGTCTCTGGACGGGGGGGTCCAACACGGCTCGTCCGGGAGGGTTGTGACGCCCCCCCCCCCCCTCTTGTTCACGAAATTCGGGGCAGCTGTCCTCCCATGTGTGACCACGGGCCGCTGCCCGACGCCTTCTTCTCTTCATGCTGCCCGTGGGGGGGCGGGGCAGGGCTAGCTCGAGCGCGTCCCCCTCCGAGCGGATTTTGGACGGAAAATTGAGAACAGTCCAAACAGCTTCAAGAATAGTCATACGATACTCAAAACATCGTCCCCAGACTATTTTGGGGCTATTTTTGAATACCCCCCCTGTGGATGGATACGCCCGACTCCAGGGTGGGGGGTGGAAGGCGAGAGGAGGTCTCTCGGGGCATCGCGCCCGCTCGCAGCCAGGAGGCCGATGAGCCCGCCGGCCTCTCGCCGTCGCCTGGACGTCCATTCCCCGTGCAGTGTTCGATCCCGGTGCGTCTAATTTTTTTTTTCGCGAGAGGATCGGGGAAGATGCTCCTCCAGGGCCCTCGCCGAGAAAGAACTGCACACGGCCGAGCGACGCCAAGGGCCTGTCATCGTGCAGGTGGGGGTCTCAAGTGGGCGCGGGGTGACAGAAAGGAGCCCCCTCGACGCACCAGGGGCACCCTCGACGCGCCAGGCATCTCTCTGGCGCCTTCTGCACTCCTTGGGAGTCGCATAGTGGGGGGGCAATAAATGGAGGGGGAGAGAAGTGCACTTTTCGGGCCCTCCAGGCCCCCTTTTGGGCTCCAGAAGCTGCTCCGATAGGATGGCCCGATTCCCCGAGCAGTGCTAGCGCTTAGGTTTAGGTCGGGCATGTCCCCCTACACGCGGATTTGGGCGAAACATGAAAAATACTCAAAACATACCCAACACATGCTCTGAAATAGTCAAAGCATCGTCCCCAGACTATTGTTTTAATGTGTTTGGATCTCCCCCTGTAGAGGGACGTGCCCGACTGAAACTTAGCTTCCCACTTCTCCCTCTGAGGAATCGGGTAGCTCGGCCGAGGTTTCGCATGGTTATGCCCATGGGCGCCTTCTGCCCCTGCACGCTCCAGAAGCTGCTCCGATAGGCTGGCCCGACTCCCCGAGCAGTGCTACAGGCCTCGGAAAAAAATAGCGAACACTCATGCCACACTCATCTGTGAACGCCTCCCCCTCCCCCCAGTGTTCAAAAATGGCGGTGGGTCTGATGAGTTGCACCTCGATCGCAGTCTCCCCCCCGCGTGCCAACTTTGAGCTTGGGGGGCAAGGGGGGTGTTCACTAATTGTTTCCCTCTACCGTATTGGGCGCCCGAGTTATCCGGGGTAACTCGGGTCCGGGGCAACTCGGGTTCGGATTCCCGAAAAACGAACCCGAGTTAACCCTGACCCGAGTTACCCCTGATGGTTCGGGGCTCTGACCGTAGCGCTAGGGAGCCCACAAAGGACGTACGCGCCCAGCTATGTACATGAACACGGCCCCTTGACCCGCGAGACCGGCCGCGTGATACGAATATTCGCCTAGTGCGAAATCTCGAAAACAGCGTGGATTCATGTACGTGTACGTCCTTTTTTCGCTCCTGAAGCGCTGAGGTACGTACAGCGCTGAAGCGCTGTACGTCCTCCGCTGCCAGCATGGCGCACGTGGGGCTGTGTGGGAGAGGGGGAGGCTACGGCTGGTAGCTCTTGTCGTCGGAAGGATGAACGAGGAGGATTCGGCCCCATTTGGGGGGCTGTTGCGACGGATTGGGCCGCGGAGCAAGCGGGATTAGGCCGTAGCGCTGAGGTTCTCACTTCTCTCCCCGAGGAATCGGGCAGGCCAGCCGAGGCTTCGCCTGGCTGCGCCCACGGGGCGCCCCGGTGCGCCGGGTGGGCCGCCCGCGGGGCGCCTCCTGCTGCGCGGGGCGGGCCCGCCCAGGCTTGCCCCGCCCGCCTCCCAGGGCCACCTGCCAGCCTCGAAGGCTTGGACGCCCGAGTTATCCGGGGTAACTCGGGTTCGGGTTCCCGAAAAACGAACCCGAGTTATCCCGGACCCGAGTTACCCCTGATGATTCGGGGCTCTGGACGCCCGAAATGTCCGGGGTAACTCGGGTCCGGGATAACTCGGGTTCGGACTCCCGAAAAACGAACCCGAGTTAGCCCTGACCCGAGTTACCCCTGATGATTCGGGGCTCTGAAAGGCCGTCTTCTCGCCATCGCTCGGACGTCCGTTTCCCGTGCACTTTTCGGTTTCGTGCGTGTTTTGTGTTGCTCGATGGTCCAGGACGGTCCTGGATGGTCCTCGCCGGGAAAAGAGTGCACACGTCCGAGCGATGCCAGGTCTTGCGGCGACCTTTGGAGGTTTGATTGCGCTGTCGCGGCAGCTCTCCTCATGGTCGACACGTTGGGAATGGCAATCGGACAGATCGACCGGCTTCTCCACGGCAGAAGTCCAAGACTCAAACACACCGAGTCGTCGGAGGGCTCCAGGTCCACCAGGTCGAAAGAAAGGCTGGAGCAGGACCTCCTGCTCCTCCAAGTTCTCCTCCTCTCCACCTCCTCCTCCTCTGCCTCCTCCTCCACTTCCCCCTCCCCCTCCCCCTCCCCCTCCTCCTCCTCCTCCTCCTCCTCCTCCTCCTCCTCCTCCTCCTCCTCCTCCTCTTACACCACCCTTCTAGCGATGTGAGGGTCGGTCATCCACCAGCGAAGCCCAGCAAGCCTGCATGCATAGTGGTACCAGTACGTCGGCTGCTACAGTCCTTTTCCGCAACCTCAAAACTCTTCCATCCTCTTTCAACCTCCTCCTCCTCCCCTTCCTCTTCAGCCCCCTCCTACTCTTCAGCTTCCTCCTCCTGGGACCTTCGGCAATCACATCAGGCCATGTCCTACCTGTCGTCGGAGGGTGTGCCCAACCGCTCAGAGACGAATGGTCCTCCAACTCTGCATCATCCCTCCTCTGCGTCCTCGCTCTCCCTCCTCCTCCTCCTCCTCCTCGTCCTCGTCCTCGTCCTCGTCCTCGTCCTCGTCCTCCTCCTCTTCCTCCGCCTCCTCCTCCTCCTCTTCCTCCCCTCCATCCTCCCTCCTCCTCCTCCTCCTCCTCCTCCTCCTCCAACTCCTCCTCCTCCTCCTCCTCCTCCTCCTCCTCCTCTTCGAGCAGGTGGTCGCCGTTAACCTCTCTGTATACCGTAGGCCACTCTCCCTTTAATTAGGTCGCACCTTTTTATGTCCTGTGCGCTCATCCTCTTTCTCCTCCTCTTTCTCCTCCTCCTCCTCCTCCTCCTCCGCCTCCTCCTCTTCCTCTTCCTCCTGTTCCTCCTGTTCCTCCTCGCTCCCCCTCCTCGCTCCCCCTCCTCCTCCTCCTCCTCCTCCTCCTCCTCCACCTCCTCCCCCTCTCTCCTTCCTCCTACTTCTCCATTCCCCGTTTTCCGATTAACTTCTCCCTGTCGCACCCCGAGACCAGTTTTGAGGGCGGGATGGGCGTTTCGCCTGAGACATCCTCACCACTTATGGCTCTGAAGCTTGAAAGTTGGCAGCGGCTTCGCAGATGGAGAGCGGGTCGTTTTCAACATGTGGTTCTTGCCTTAGCGCCGCGCACATCCAATTTTTAAACACTCCCAAGGCTTCACGGATTGATGGCGAGTAGTGTTCAACAGGTGGCTCTCCCCTTAGCGCCGCGCACATTCGTCTTAAACAATTGCAAATACTTCACGGATTGAGAGCGGCTTCTTTTCAAAATGTGGCTTTCGCCTTAGCGCCGCGCACATGCGTTTGTAACATTTGCAAGAGTTTCACGGATTCCCATGATCAGCGCACCAGACATGGTGTTTTGGAAACGTTCAAGACTATGCCGGTGCAACGGTGAGGTTGGTTCGCGGTGTTGAAGTCCCAAGCATGGCTTTTGGCACGGTTCAGGGTCGTCAGGACGCAACAATCAGGCTGATTTGTGGCGTTGGAATCCCAGGAACAATGTTTTGGCATGCTTCAGGGTCTTCAAACGGTTGTCTTCCAACGAGGACGTTCCCTCAATGGAAATGAACCGTTGTAAGGGCCTATGGGGAGGGAACTTGGAGGGAAGGTTTATTCCGACATCGTTGAAGACCCTTGGGCTTACACTGGTCCTCCTCCTCTTCTTCCTCCTCCTCCTCCTCCTCCTCCTCCTCCCCCTTATCCGCCCCTTTTTCCCTCCCTCCTCCTTTTCTCCCTCTTCCCTCCCTCCTCCCATTCCCCCTCCTCCCCTGGCCATCGCTCGGACGTCCATTCACTGTGTTTTCTTCGGTTTCGTGCGTGTTTTTTTCGCAGGATGGTCCACGACGCACTGCACTGCACAAGCCGTACGCCGTCCGGCGCGTAGGCGGGAAAAGTATGACTTCAAGCGTTCACTGCCAATGCGCCTGCTAAACAGGGCAGACAGGGCAGTTGGAGGAGGAGGAGGAGGAGGAGGAGGAGGAGGAGGAGGGGGAGGAGGAGGAGGAGGAGGGAGAGGGAGAGAGCAAGCAAACAACACACGCATTGCATTCACAACACGGTGCCCTCCTTGATAATCCCCGCCTAGAAAAATGCACACGTCCGAGCGATGCCAAGTCCCTTCCAGACTCCTTCAAATCATCCAATGACTCGTCACCTCCACGCTGCGGGCTGATCGGTCGGCGGCTGAAGGCCTCGCCTCGACATCATCCCCATTTCTCGCTCCTCTTCCTTCTCTTCATCCTCATCATCGTCCTCCCCGTCAACATTCTTCTCGCTCCTCTCGGTACCGTCATCGTGCTGCTCTTCTTCCTCCTCCTCCATTTTTCTTTGTCATCCTCCACCTCCTTGTCCTCCTCTTCCTCCTCATCATCCTCCTCTCACACCTCCTTCTTGTTCCTCCTCCTTTTCCTCCTCCTCCTCCTCCTCCTCCTCCTCCTCCTCCTCCTCCCCGTCCTCCTCCTATCGAGTAATTGTTTTCCAGTTTCTCTCCATTTTGCTACACTTCCTCCCTCGTTCCACCTCCTCCGTCCTGCGGGATCTCTTTTTCTCTTCCTCCCCGCCCTGCGGGCCCTCGCGCTGTGCCCGCGGTGGCCGACCACCACTTCTTCTGGGGGGACACTTGGAATCCGACCATTCTGCGTCGACCAGAAAAAGGGTCCAACTTCGCAGAGGGCCAAGCTCCACCACGCGGGTTCGTCCCACGCCTGGCGGTTCGCCTGCGCGGCAGCCCAGGCCACCCGCGACTTTTATATGCGGACCCAGGGGCGGGCCGACAAGGAAAAAAGCGGGGCGGGCGTGTCAACGGGCCACAGAGAGCGAGGGGCCGAGGAGCGAGAAAGGAATGGGGGAGGTGGAAGGACGACGGGAAGAGACAGGCCGGGCCGACAGACGGAAGGGGGGGGGGGGCGGGGAGGGAGGCCAAGCGGAGGGGAAAGGCAGGGAGAGCGCTCAGCGAACAAGGACAAGGAAGTACAAGGGCAAGGGAAAGACCCAGAGAGGGAGAGGGGGAGGGGAGAGGAAGGGGGCCGAGAGCGGAGGAGGAGCGGAGAGCCGGGCCGAAACCAGGAAGGAGGCGGGCCGAGAGGCGCGCTGGTGCGACAGCACACCTGGAAAATGTAGAAAGCATATTAGAACAGAACTGCGGGCAAGATTCATGTCCATATCCAGTGCCTCGTGGACTTTTTTGGAAGCGGCGCCACAAGGCCGAGGCGCACTGGATATGGATAAAAACCGAGCCTCTAGGGGGCAGATTTAGCCATATGCAGTGCGCCTCGGGTTTCTTGGGAAGGGAGCCCGAAACTCCATACTGCAGCGGATATAAACATAAGTATCGCCCGCAAGAACAAGACAGATGAAATGCAACACACTCAAACGTTTACCCCGCGCCCTCCAGCTCGGGCGCCCCACTGATGCCAGGACGCGCGGTCGGAGGCGCCAGCCTCCTCGGGGCCGCCCGCGCGCTCTCCCTCTGCAGGGTGCACGATGTGCTCTGGGCGATCCGGAGTGAGGCCGGCTCCTGTGCCTCGCGCCATGCCGCCGACTCTGGCCATCGCTCGGAACTCCATTTCCTGTGTTTTGTTCGGGTTCGTGCGTGGCTTTTTTTTCCGCCAAGTGATCAAGGATGCTCCTCGATGGTCCTCGCCGAAGGAAAAATGCACACGTCCGAGCGATGCCTTCGCGAACCTGTCGAGGACGCCGCGGGCCAAAGGGCTTCAGCCACCACCATGAGACTCCAAGATCACGCGCGCGAGCGTGAATCCAGCGGTCGAACACTCCTTGTCCGTGTCCTTCAACGAGCGCTTGAAGTGCTCGTGAGCTGGGAAGACCGCCCCGCCGTCCACGGCAGACCTCTCCAAGAAGTCGCCGCGGAGCCCCAAAGTGCATGCGAAGTCGAGAGCCTCGCCTGAAGCACCCAGGACTCGCGGCAGCCAGATGTCTGCAGGCCTGCGCAGGCAGTCCGCGAGGCTAATGCTGTCGTCGGCGGGCCTGGCTGGCAAGAGGCCCGCCTTCTCTCGCACGGCCGCCCCCCCTCAGGGAGGCGTCTTCGAAAACCACGTCTCGAATGGCATTGCGCCGCATGGTGCGGTACCCCTTGCAGCACAACGCCAATGCGTGATCTCCAAAGGAATCGAACACCTCTCCACAGCATGGGCAATAAACGTCCGCTGGCGCCACGCGCAGCCGCAAACGCCTCCTGAGGGCGACCTTGTACATCGCCGGTTCAATATCCCTCCCGTCGTCGACGGGGGGGTCTGTCAGCCAAGCCGCAGCCACTGGCAGCGAGACCAAGGAGAGGTGGGCGAGGCGCGAACCTTCTGCCGTTGCCGTCGCCCTGAGCGTGGCCTTGAGCGCGCCATCAGTTGGGGCCGACAAGTCCTTCTGCTTGACGACGCCCTCTGGTAGGTTCAGGGTGGCCGCCTCCAAGCAGCTCCCCCTCAGGGCAGCGCGCGCCGCCGCGAAGTGGCCCCCGTCAGTATCGATGTCGAAGCGCTCGCAGAGGCTTCGGCAGGACCACGCAGACGAGACATAGGCCGCAAAGGCGTGCAGCGCCGCGTCCCGGAGCCCGAAACCACCGTTCAGGATGCTCAGCTGCGCCTGCATCCACGCGTGGTCAGAGAGTGCCGCCCCCGCCAGCACCTTCAAGCTACTGCGGAGGTCCAGCGAGAATTGACGCAAGGCTTCATGGTGGAGGCGGGGAGGGACCACCCTGGCCGAGTTCGCGAGCTTGCAGAAGCTCGCGCAGGCCCGAATCAAAAGCAAGCCTCCTGGCAGTGCTCCACGTCCTGCAGCTGGGCGAGCAGGTCGGCCGTCTTTCACTTCCGCTTGAGCGCGTGCGACGTGCAGAAGGACTTCTTGCCGAAGGCCGCGCCAAACAGCTTGACATTGCCGTCCGCGTGCCACGCGAACCCTGGGAATGCCTCGCTGGGCAACTGGTGCTCGCGAGCGGCTGGGACGACCTCGCACTTCGACGGAGTCAAGTCCAAGCCCATCCCGGCCAGGCGGCGTTTGAGCTGGCAGAACTCCGACGTGGCCCGGGCTGTGCCGCCCGCCACACCGTCGCCCAAGCAGAGCACGCACAGCTCCGGTTCGCCTGGGGAGTAAAGCGCCATCTGCCGCTCGGGAAGCCAAGACGAGCTCATGGATTGCGAAAAACCGACGAGAGCGCCGGGCCCAAGGGGTCACCCTGCTACGCGCCTCTGCCGCTCTGGAGCCGCTCGCCCCCCAACCGCCCATGGTGCCCAAGACGGGCGCCATCTCCGGGTCGCGGCCAGCACTGCTGACCTGTCGACTGCGTTGAGTGCGCTGCCGAGGTCGAGGGTAGCGAGGCACCTGTCAGAGCCGACTACTACTCGCGTTCTCCTCATCCTTCATCCTCCTCCCGAGGAAGTACCGTGGAGGAAAGGTACGAGGGGAAAGAGGACGGAAGGGCAAAGAACGATGAGACAGGAGAAAGGAGGAGGGGAGGGGCAGAAGGAGAAGAGCGAGGAAAAGGAAAGGGGAAGAGAGGAACCCTCAACCCCTTCCACCTCCGCCTCCTTTTCCTCCTCCTCATCCAACTCCCCCTACTCGTTCTTCCCCTCGTCGTCGCTGTCGACAGGCTAACGATTCTCCAGACCGCATACCTCTGCGGGGGCGCATTCGTACCAGGCTTGCGAGGCGAATCTGGACGTGGCGAAAGGGTTCGCCAGGAGGCGCCCAAAACACGTTTAGACGATTAGTATGTCTCGTCGTCGTCGGTCCACAAACAATTACTCTCAACGACCGATGGGTATCGGTAACTTTCCCTCCTCGGCCACTTGCAGATTTGGTGCTCGCGCTGTCCATGCTCTGCTCTCCGAAGGCTCTGCAGCGCCGCCCACACCCTTTGCTTCTGCACACCCGAGCTCCGTAGCTGCCTGCACGCCCTCCTGTGCTCAGCTGCGCTCGTGCTCTTATGGACACTGCAGCAGAGCCCAGAATCGAATCGATAAGTCGGATCGGCGATCGAAATCAATCGGATCGGCGGAGATCGGCAGCCAAGTCGGGAAAAGCCGAATCGGCGGACATCGTCAGGCTAGTATGCCTCCAGCGAGAAATCGGAACCCAAATCGGACTCCAAAGTCGGATCGAATCGGAATCGGAAACCATCGAAATCGAATCGAATCGAATCGGGGGAGTCGAAATGAGCCCTGGACGCTGCGCAGGCCTGACGAGAGCTTGAGAGGTCCCTTCCACCATGTGTGCCTCGTCTTCGTCCTCGCCGCCGCCCCGGCCAGCGGGCCGCCTGCGACACGGCGGCCACCCGGACGCCGGTGCGGCTCTGCTCCTGCGACCGCCGAGCCCGGGCGCGAGCAGGTCGGCGCGCGCCCCCCCCCACCCAAACCGCGGCGGCCGGCGGATTCGGGTGCGGCCGAGCCGGCCCCTGGCAGACCATCCCCTTCCGTGGCGTCATCCTTGCCTCGCAAGAGGAGGAGGAGGAGGAGGAGGAGGAGGAGGAGGAGGAGGAGGAGGAGGAGGAGGAGGAGGAGGAGGAGGAGGAGGAGGAGGAGGAGGAGGAGGAGCCCCTGCGGCCGCACGCGCGCGTCTTCTCGGGGGGTGGGCCGGAGTCGGGCGCCAGCTCCCAGGGGCGCACGTGGCAGCGCGCGGGGGCAGAACGAGGGGCCCCGCACAGACGAGGGCGAGGGCCAGATGATGGGCCTACCATAAGTTGGAGGGGGGAGTGAAGAGGAGGAGGAGGACGACCTCCCCCCTCCAACTTCTGGCGGTGGTGGTGGAAAGCAGGCCCAGCACTTGAGAGGGAGACCGACCACAGAGAGCGCAGGGGCCGACCAAGGACAGAAGCAGGGCCCGAGAACCACCGAGGGGACAATGCAGCCGAGCGCCAATACCAGCGGCGGGCGAGGCAGCCAAAAAACTGCCGCCGGCACCGCTCCTCAAAACGGGCTTGAATGCCAAGGCCCTGGCCCGACTGACCGAGTCAGGAGGGAACAAAAAAACACAGACACAATCAATCGGCGATTTCCCAGAAAATATGGCAAAATATGAAAGTGGGGGGGAAGACAAGAACCCAGAACATATGGAAAAACATGGGGAATCCGGTTATTTGTGTGTATTCATTTGTGTGTCCCAGGGCCCCTCCATCGAGGCCTTCCCCTGACGTCGAAGACCTGCCGTCGCCAACGCCGGCGGCGTCCTCGGCAGGCCAGTGCGGCGCCCGCGCGAGCCCCCGGGCCCCGCGCGAGCCCCATAGGGCCCACCTCCCTCGTCCCTCCTTGAAGGGGCCCAGGGCCACACAAACAGACACAGAAAAGCCAGGCTTCCCCATAGGTGTCCATATTTTCTGGAGCTTCGTCTGCACCCCCACTGCACATGTGTTCCCATATTTCCCCGGAAATCGACGATTGCTGGTGTCCGTGTGCTCTGTTTTCCCCTCCTGACCCCTCCCCATCCTTCTCTGCTCCTCTGCTTGCCGTCCGCTGGACGCCCAGGGTTCCCGCGGGGGCGTCAAGGGAAGAAGGTCCCACGCAAAACCAGGGACACTGCGAGAATTCCAGAATTCCGCCAGGACTTCGAGAACCCCCCAAAAAACAGGGACACTGCCCCCAAAAAAACCCAAGAGCCAAGGCTTCGCAGACTTCCGCCTGGAGAGAACGCAGCGTGGAGACAACGCCCCGACCCACCGCTGCAGTCTCCTCGGGCACAGCAGAACGCCATGGCTCTCGTCAGTATGAAGACGAAGCCAGGACGCGGATGAAATCGGGAGATGATAAATCGGGGATCTCTGAGATCTGGCGGCTCTACAGGATGTCTCGGGCGCCGCGGCCTTCTCAGAGCGTTCCGTGACGCTCTGAGACCGCTCCAGACCGCTCGGGACGCTCTGAGAGCGTTTCAGACCGCTCTGGGACGGACCTATTCTCGCCCTGGCCCCGTCCAGACTGTCCCCGTGTCGGGGGCCCTGGGGCTGGGCGGGGAGCTGCCGACCTGATGCTCCTCCCCCCAGAGGGCAAGAATCTGGCCATCGCTCGGACGTCCATTCCATGTGTTTTTGTTCGGTTTCGTGCGTGGTTTTTTCGCCAAATGAACAAGGATGCTCCTCGATGGTCCTCGCCGAAGGAAAAATGCACACGTCCGAGCGATGCCAAGGAGTTGGGCCACCCAGCGTCGCGCAGCGCGTCCCGCGGTGCGGCTACCCTCACGCACTCGCGAGGCCACCCTGGAGAAGGGCAGCTCTCCGGACGAGGCCGCGACGCGTGAGGCGCGATCACATCTTCGCGCCCCTATAGGGCATTTGGACATTCGCTTGGGCACCGGGATTCACTAGTTATCTGACTCCCCCCCCCGTCCCTGGCCGACCCGGACTGGCCGACTGGCCGACTGGCGAGGCGGAAAGCTCTTCCCGGTGCCTCAGAAATTGTCCCTCTCCGCTGGGGGGGGGTGGCCGAGGGAGGATCGGCCATCGCAAGATTGGGAGATCGGATCGGAGATCGAAAGGTGCGTCGGGGCGGGCGGCTCCTCTCCGCGGAGCGCCAGGGGGGCAGGTGGGCGGGGGAGTGCTCGCGGAGGGCGGGGGCCCTCTGCAGAAAGGGCCCCAGGGACTCGAGAGCACGCCTGGGTCGGGCGTGTCCTCCTGCGGGCGGGTGGTGGAGGAAGCACGAGGAAGAGCCCCGAACAAGTACACGAGCATCGTGGAACCTAGTCGACAAATCGCGCCCCGACTACTTTGGGATATTCCTCCTCTAGAGGGACATGCCCGGTTGAGAAAAGCACGCCGCCTTCGACCCCGGCCCCGCCGCGCGCTCCCGACCGAGGACTGCTCGCCGCCGCGCCGTCGCGCCGTCGCGCCGCCGGCCGCCGTCCTCGGGAATGAGCTGCAGCAGCTTGGGCAGGTCGACGTTCAGCAGCGTCTCCAGCAGCTGGGGCGCAGCTGGACCAGAGCGATGGCACGAGCTGGCTGGAGCAGGACGCCCGTCGGGCGGAAGAAGTGGGTGGCGACTCGAAGCAGGAGGGCGTTGAAAGTGGATCGGGTTCCCGCGGGGTCCCTGAAGAGAAAGTAACAAGGAACACAACACGATCATTGGAGCAGGAAGGCGCCTAAAGTTTGTTGAAACCTAGAACTCCCAAGATGATTTCGTTCAACACCCAACGGATGCACTCCAGGATTTCCGAAGTATCTAACGGCCCTCATGGCTTAAGCCCGCGTAGAGCACCATCATCATTATCAGCATCAGCAGCATCATCATCATCATCATCATCATCATCATCATCAGCATCATCATCATTCTCACCATCACCATCACCATCACCATCAGCATCATCATCATCATCATCATCATCATAATAATCATCATCCGTATCATCATTATCATCTCCATCATCCTCATCATCACCATCATCACCATTATCACCATCGCCATCAGCGTCATCACCATCATCACCATCATTCCAATCGTCATCAGCAGCATCAGTATCAGTATCAGTTTCAGTATCAGTATCACCATCATAATCATCATCATCAACATCAACATCATCATCATCATCATCATCATCATCATCATCATCATCATCATCATCATCATCATCATCATCATCATCATCATCATCATTTGCAGCATCATGATATTCGGCATTGTCGCCACCAGCACCATCATCAGCATCAACAGCACCATGATTTGTTCATCGTCGTCAACATCAACATCAGTATCACCATCATCATCATCATCATCATCATCATCATCATCATCATCACCATAATAGCATCCATCGTCATCACCAGCATCATCATCAACATCGATAGCACCATCATCAGTACCATCGCCGTCAACAAAACATCAACATCATCACCACCACCATCATCAGCATCATCATCAGCGTCACCATCCTCATCACCAGATTCATCACCATCGGCATCATCTCCAATGTTATCATCATCACCAACAACAGTAACAACATCATACTCGTCATCTATCATTGGCATTATCATCATTGCTGTCATCGTCGATGTCGTCATCATCATCACCACCAACACTATCATCATCATCCTCACCACCATTATCATAATCATCGTCATCATCATCGCTGTCATCGTCAGCGTCATCGTCATAGTCATCGCTATCGTCATCATCATCATCACCACTTGCTGCTCTTACGCAGGGCTGGGAAGAGGGCCAAGCCGAGACAGACCTTGGCCCTTCTTAGCATTTTGCTAGTCCTTTCTCGGGTCTCGTCGCCAGGGCCCGATCCGCCTCGAAACACGCGCCACGGTGGATCCTCGGAGGGGTCCGGGGATCGATCTTGAGCGGATTTGGGCCCGGCGAGAAGAGTGGTCTCTCAACTGGCCCTCATCCGAAGGGCGCATGGCAGAAACGATGGGGAAGCTCAAAATGACAGACAGTCACGGGCGGACAGACAGACGCTCCGACAGACAGACAGGTCGACACGTGGACGCCGGCCTCAGCAAACACTGCGGACGTGCAGTTGGGCCAACGTGAGCGAAGCCTCTGCCGGAGCGCCCGCGGCAGCTGCAGGCATCTCACCTTGCGGCTTGGGCAGCCATTCGAGGGGGCGGCGCGGGGCGTGGCTCCGGCGCACCCGCCTGCGGACCCGGAGGCGGGCCCCGCTGCCCCCCGAGGGGGGTTGCGTGGTGGGACGGGGCTCCCGCGCGCCCGCCTGCCGGCCCCGCTGCCCCCGAGGGGGCTCGGGGCGGGAGGCGGGCTCTGCGCACCCGGCTGCGGGCTCCCCCTCGGGACGGGCGTGGCCTCTCGAGCGCGCGCCACCGCGGCCAGCTGCAGCACCCCTTCGGTGTCATCTGCTCCTCGGCGGCGCCGCGGCGGGGCCCCGCGCATCCGCACACGGGCCCCGCTGCCCCCGAGGGAGGCTGGAGGCGGGTCGGGGCTCCCGCCCACCCGCCTCCCGGCCCCGCCAGCGCACCAACCTGCTGGGGCCACCTGCTCCGGCCGAGCCGATGAGGCCGGCTGGCTGGCCTGTGCTGCTCATAGGGGGTGGCGGGACGGAGCTCCCGCGCATCCGCGTACGGGCCCCGCTGCCCCCGACTGGGCTGCGGAAGTGGGACGGGGCTTCCATTCACCCGCTTGCGGGCCCGCACCTCCCGCGCGTTGCTGGGCCTCGGCGAGCAGGCCTCGCGCATCTCCACGTGCATGAAACCCGTTCCTGGTGATCACCCACACACATACACTTTGTGGCGTCGCATCCTCGCGCGCAGCGTCTAAACGTAGAAGGTCGGAGGGCTAGAAGCTAGAAGCGGGAAGCGCGCGGCCGGCCCACTCAGAAACCAGAGGGAAAGAACCACCCGACGGGATCAACCGGCAGCGGCGGCGGCCAAAGCGGGACCGTAAGGGGCACCACGCACACATACACACACGCACACACACAGATACATGTACACACATACACACAAACACGCGCGTGCACAATTTTTGACGGTCGCGGCTTCGCGCGCAACGACGAGGAGAAAATCCCCAAACGGAGCGCACACACAACCCCATTCCCCCCCGCCGCCACACACACACACCCACACCCACACGCACACGCACACGCACACGCACACGCACACCCACACGCTCACGCACACGCACACGCACACGCGCACGCACACGCACGCGTACGCATACACGCACACACACAGACACACACACACACACCACCCACACAAACACACACACACACACACACCTTTCGCGTCGGCGGCCCAATGGAGTCCAACCTGAGCGGTGCATACATCAAGCCCTGGCATACGGAGCGATGCAGCTACGGAGGCTGACGGAACCAGCCGCGAGTGACCCAACACTAGCTAAAGCAAGCGTAATTTTCGGACGCTCCAGTCGCAGGCGGAGATAACAGCATTACCGAAACGCAAAGACCGGGAAACCATCGCGAGAAAGGGCCAATCGAGGACATTGCAGGAAACGGGAGTGTAAAGACAATGGTTGGCGGTCCCGAGTCGGCGAGGTGACGGACTGCGCCGTCACCTCGGAATCCCCAAATACCTCAGCGTACGGAGAGTCACCGCATGGTTTTGGGACCTTGGAGGCCCCAGTTGCTCCATTTGGCCTCGGTGAGTGACCCAGGTCCCCCAGGGGGAAGGCAGCGAGACCGCCGGACGGGAGATGGGACCGCCGGCAAGGTGCAGAATGGAGTTGGCGAGGTCGTTCCAGCAATGAGCGATGCACCACGCAAACTCTTTCCTCCAGCGGGGAGGTGACGGCACCGTCGCGAAGCGCTAATTGCGCTGGGACACGCTGAGGCGAATTCCAGATGGCGTGAGCAGGCGGGTGGACCGGATGGTGGAAGCCGCGTGCAGAAAAAAAGGACTTGCGCTAGTTAGGCGAGTGGGTGTGCCTGCGCGTGGAAGTTCCGCCGATGTGGCGCGTGAGTTCCAAAAAGCTACAACCTGAGATTCAGCCCTGCTGGGAGGAGGAGGAGGAGGAGGAGGAGGAGGAGGAGGAGGAGGAGGAGGAAGGACTTCCATTTCTGGGGCCACCCCCACGCCGCAGGAGGGAGCGCTGGCGGTATGGACGGAGAAGGGAGGAAGGGGGCGGGGGTCGGGGGGAGGGCAACGCCGCCAAGGCCGCTAAGACGGCCCAAGAGAGTTCCTGCACGCCCAAGTTGGCCCCGAGACGGACCAAGAGGCCCCAAAGAGGCCCCACAAGCGCTCCAAGAGGACCCCTGAGAGGAAGAGGGCACCACGAGGTAAAAATCCCGTGGGTTGTTTGATGCTTTTGACATTCTCGCCTTGTAGATCGTCCGACGCTCCAGGACGGCCCAGGAGGCCCCCCAAGACAGCCCCAAGACAACCCAAGAGGCCCCCAAGAGGGCTCCAAGAGGGCCCGGAAACGGCCCAAGAGGCGCCCAAGACGACCCATGAGGGCCCCAAGACGGTCCAATAAGGGGACCATGAACCGACGATTCGAGCCTTCCGCCCCGCCCCCAGGTAGCCCAAAGAGGCCCCCAAGAGGCCCAAGAGGCCCCAGAGAGGCCCCAAGGGGTTCCCACAAGCCCCCCCCCCCAGAGGCCCCAAGAGGCTCGCAAAAGGCCCACGGGAGGCCCACAAACGGCCCCCAAGAGGCCACACACCTGAATCCAAGAGCCCCCCGAAAAGCGTCCAACGAGATCCCAACGAACCAGGCCACCAGATCAGAGAAAACAGAAATGACGGCATGGAGCAGAACATTACGAACAATTCACGCTACGACCCGCCCAACCACCCGCCAACGAGCCAACCCGTGCAAGAACTAGCCAGCCAACAAGCTCGGCAGACGGACACCGAGCAAACATTCCATCCAACACATACTGCCTAAGGCGACTGCCAATACCCTCCGCCCCTTCCTCCTCCTTCTCCCTCCTTATCCTCCACCTCCTGTTCTCCCAGGAGAAACTCACAAGCTACAAGCATGACGAGCTCGCACGGAGCGTCCTGGAGCGCCCCGGATCGGCGGCACAGGCTGGAGGCCTGCAGAATAAATGCCGCGGAGGCCTCTACAAGAAATGCCGCTGCGGCCGTGCAAATTCAGGAAATGGCCGAGCACAACGAGGCGGACTGAGGCACAAAGGCAGAAGGAGACGAGGTGCGACCAACGCATGGCGTCTGCAGGCGCCCACAGCGGCAGACGGTGCAACCGGTGCCGATGCAGCCCGACTGTACAGGCGTACCAGCTAGGACGAGAGAAAACGTGCGGGACGGGAAAATGACCACAGCTACTGCTTCTTGTTTGCGCCGCCTTCCAGCCGGCCGAAAAAGAAGCAGTGGTTGTGGTCATTTCCCTGGTGCCAAGCTCAACGAAAATAACCACAGCCACTGATTTGTTTTTGCGGGCTGGAAGGCGGCAACAGAAGAAAGCAGTGGCTGTGGTCGTTTTCACGCCCCGTAAAAAAAAGCCCCAGCGGGCACGGCGGGTAG